AAATGATAACTTTAAAAAAAAAAGTTATTATGTATTTATTTATTAAGAATAATACAGTAACCGTATATCCAAAACTATGAACGATGAACATTTTGGCACATTTGGTTCAATTTTTCCTAAAATTTTTGAAGGTTAATTATACATACCATGCCATTTCATCCCTAAACATATCAATACATACGCTGAAAAATGAAACGTTTCTTACTGGGCCGAATGTCATGATCAAACAAAACGCATAATAATTCCCTTATGTCAACACGTGGCCAATACTCAGTTTTCCCCAAATGCCCTTTTACAGTTGGTTTGTAGGAACCTTTATCCAAACAAAATCCACATCTCTGTCTCGATCTGTGTCCAACCGAGGGTCCTGCATGGGTTCTGACGTCTCCGCGTCCTGCGAAGTTCTCAGAACAAGCTCAGAATAATCGCGGATGCCAAGTGTACAAAGGAGGGGTTTGGCCCGTGGAGAGGGGTTGGCAGGAGGGGCCCAGTGCCCAGGAGCCCAGGAGCTGGGTGAAGACCCCTCCTCTGCTCAGAAAGGGGCCAGCTTCGCGGTCCTGTGTCCTGACCTGCTGAGGGTGGGAAGTGTTCAGGTGAAGTTTCCATACCTACAGCATACACTCCCCACAGAAAGGCCACGAAATGCACCCACAAAACAAACCTGCCAGTTCCAGGCAGGTCTGACGTGGCCATTCCCTGCCAGGAGGTGAGGCAAGGGCCCGAGGCAGCCACCCCCAGCTCCACGGCCAGGACTCAGATCCCAGCTCTCCCCACTAGAACCATGAGCCCAGACACCAGCCTCCTCTCTGCTTCCTATCAACAAAACGAGGGGCGCCTGGGTGGCTCAGTCATTAAGTATCTGCCTTCGGCTCAGGTCATGATCCCAGGGTCCTGGGATCGAGCCCCATGTCGGGCTCCCTGCCCGGCGGGGAGCCTGCTTCTCCCTCTGCCCTTCCCCCTGCTTGTGCTCTTTCACTTGTGTGCTAGCTCTCTCAAAATAAATAAAAAATATATATTTTTTTAATTAAGGGCGCCTGGGTGGCTCAGTCGTTAAGCGTCTGCCTTCGGCTCAGGTCATGATCCCAACGTCCTGGGATCGAGCCCCACATCGGGCTCCCTGCTTGGCGGGAGGCCTGCTCCTCCCTCTCCCACTCGCCCTGCTTGTGTTCCCTCTCGCTGTGCCTCTCTCTGTCAAACAAATAAAGTCTTTTTAAAAAATCCAGAATGAGCCTCCAGAAGCTTGGGGACCACAGGGGCTAGGGGGAGGTGTCCAGCACACAGGGGTGACCCTCATCCTGGACGCGGGGAGAGGAGACCTCCCACACGCAGCCCGGGTGGTGGCTCCCCTCGCTGTCCCTGCCACCGCAAGTCCGGCATGGGCAAGGCTGTGTCCACGGAGCAGATGAGGAAACAGAACCACACGGCTGGCCCGTTTTCTGTGTCTTCTTGCAGTATAATCCACACACCACAAAATTCACCATTTTAACATGCAATCCCGTGTTTTTTAGTATCATTAGTATATTCGGTGGTTTGCGTCTATTGGCCAACAGCGTCATCTAATATGAGAACTTTCCACGGCCCCAAAAGAAGCTTGTCCCCATTAGCAGCACCCCCACTCCCCTTCCCCAGTCCCTGGCAACCACTCGTCTACTTTCTGTCTCCGCAGTTTGGCCTGTTCTGGACATTTCACGTAAAGGGAACCATGAGCTCCTTTGTCTGCCTTCCTTCACTCAGACTTCAACCATATCAGAGCAAGTGTTGCGACTTCATTTTTTTTTAAGGATTTATTTATTCATTTCAGAGAGAGAGAGAGCGCTTGCATGCAAGTGGAGGGAGGAGAAGAGGGAGAGAGAATCTTAAGCGGAGTTCACGCTGAGCACAGAGCCTGAGGTGGGGCTCGATCTCATACCCCTGAGATCAGGACCTGAGCCGAAACCAAGAGTCAGATGCTCAACCGCCTGAGCCACTCAGGTGCGCCACTGTCCACTTTGCCTTAATAGCCATGCTAGAAAGTGTGCGGTGGTGGGCGCCTGCCCTAGTCTCAGGTCATGATCCCGGGGTCCTGGGGGAGGAGTCCTGGGATCGAGTCCGGATCAGGTTCCCTGCTCAGCAGGGAGTCTGCTTTTCCCTCTGCTGTGCAAGCTCAGCTCTCTCGCCCTCAAATAAATAAATAAAAATCTTAAAAAAAAAAAAGTGTGCAGTGATAGCTCGCTGAGGTTCTGATTTTCGTTTCCCTGATGACCTATGTTGGGCAACTTTTCATGAGCTTATTACATGTACATCCTCTTTGGAGAAAGGTTGACTCCAGGTTTTTGCCCACTTTTAAATTGGTTCTTTTTATTATTGAGTTGTAGGAGTTCTTTATATATTCTGGATGTTCTGCCACTTTTTTATAAGTAAAAAAATAAAGCTTTATTTATTTGTTTGTTTGAGAGAGAGCACGAGTGGAGGGGGGGCGGGGGGGCGCAGCAGGGAGAGAAGGAAAAGCAGGCTTTCCGCTGAGCAGGGAGCCCTATTCGGGGCTTGATCCCAGGACCCTGGGATCATGACCTGAGCTGAAGGCAGATGCTTAATGACTGAGCCACCCAGGCGTCCCAAAGGTTTATTTTTTTTATCTTGTGCACAGGCTAAAAACCAGAGTTGTACTGAATATCAGAGGTGGCTCCTCAATGTGTGTCTGAAACACTAGGTGACATCACTTGTCAGCCCAAAGTTGGCACCTGATTCTAGGTGAGAGAGCCTGACCTGGGGCTCCCCCGTGGCCTGTGAACTGGTGTTCAGCCCCGTGAGTCTGCTAGGAGGGGAGGTGGACGTGTGTGAGCACCATTTTTCTCAAGAGGTATCCACGGTGTATGCGGGCCGTGGGCCCTTCTCAGGCGGTCACCGAGGTGCTCCTGCCAGCCAGAGCAGCGGGGTCCAGCTCCTGTTCACGGAGAACGTTCCCCAGCAGCGTGGAGTGGACGGCCAGTGCTCTGGCCAGACAACGGGTCTTCGGCCCTGGAGGTGGGCACAGATGTCACCGATCCTGGGCCCCTGCAGGGACCGAGCTTTGCCCACACCAGGAAGCACTCCCTGCCCCTCCTGGAGAATGCAGGGGTACCTTCTAGAAGCTCTGTCTTGGTCACAGGGGAGGCGCCCTGCATCCCACCCCTACGGGGCCCTTGAGCCACCAGGCGCCATGCCTCACCTTCCCTCCCAGGAGCCCACACAAGGCCTTGGGCATGTAAAATGGAGCAGGGCCAGTGCACGGCTCTGAGCGAGCTGCAGTGAGACCATCGGGCCAAAATCGTCACCAGTGTCCTCAGCAGGGATGCCCCCAGGGGCTCGGGGGCGGGGACAGAGGGCCTAGCAGGTGCCCAGCGTCTCACGGGTCAGCTCTGGCCTTGGCGAGCATGAACAGCAGGCCGGGCTTTTACTCTCGCCCAGGAAAACACCTTCATGGGCTACAAAAGGTCAGAATAATCCAGAAACCACATTTGAGTGAGCATGACCATCCATTCTGTTTACATCTTCCCTGAGCTGAGCAAACTGGAGAACAGTCATTGGGTCGGAGAATCGGCAGGAAGTTCAGGGTCCCAGGCACAGAGCGGCCGGCTCAGTGGCCCCAGCAGCAGCTCCCACGCACCATCCTTTCCTCTGTCCCCAGAAAGAGAGACGGGCCGCAAGCAGTCAGCACATCTCCAAGCGAACAAGGGAGGACAGAACCATACAACTCCCCGCCCGTCCTCCACTGTCAGCCAGGCTCTGTTCCTCCCCAAAGCAGGGCTGATCCGCACGCCCACCCTGACCGTGACCCGAGGCCAGCTGCGGGGGGGGGGAGGGGGGGGCAGAACGGCAGCCAAGGAGCAGAGACATCTCACAGAGACACCCGTGGGGCACCGAGAGACAGCTCAGAGACACAGATGCCTGGTGGTAGAGTGTGGACGTGTGCACACGTGTGTGTGTGTGTACGTGCACATGTATGTACGGGTCTGTGTGTGGCTCTTGACAATTTGTCTTCCGCGTAAGTCCACACATCCGTCACCGGGGTACTGAAAAGCTCCATCAGCACACGGATGCTTGCTGCCCTGGGCTGTCACCGTGGCCTCCGTGGACCGGGCCACACCGAGCTCCTGGGGAGGCTGCCGCAGGGCATCCACATTCAGAATCCCAGCCATTCTGTCACATATTTTATAGCAAGATCATGAAGTTTTCTTGGTTATTCCTAGACTCAAT